TTGCTTTATGCAAGCACTATATAGGATAAATCACTTTACAGGATTACCCTACCCTATAGCAATTTTACACATAATAATCCACGATGATCACATTACACAAAACTGAAATTGCACGTCAAAATAACACATTGTCAATATTTTTTTGAGACTACTCCCCCGTAGTTCGCACCCTGGCTGTTGGTTACTTTTAATATATTCTATGTGAGTGGCAGATTTTCAAACTTTAATAAAAGTGACCAAAAGCAAAAAGTTCATTGATTGATTTCCTATTTCCTTTCTAGGTTTTAAAGCTGATTAAATCCACCATATCTGATGAGCGTGTGAAGGTAGAGTTTGTCAGTGGATTCGACCCGCTACCCATCAGCTCGTATGATGAGGATACATTCGGGTACCAGATCATAAAGAAAACAGTGCATGACATTTTTCCTGAGGTCACTGTGTCTCCTGGTAAGGCTTTTAGCATTGTGCCGTTAAATACTGCATGTTTGCTCTCTCTAGTAAGAGCTCAAGGGGTTTAAGTGGCCCTTATATACATCATTGACCCATGAAGAGCTTCTCCCACTCTTAGTCTTGTCAACAAAGCAGCTCTATGATTTCCTCTCACAGGTATCTGCGTGGGTAACACTGACAGCCGTCACTACACAGAACTGTCTCCGGACATTTATCGTTTTGCCCCATCATGGTACAAACCTGGAGATTCTGCGAGGTAAGACACACGGAAATGCTGAAGCGACATACTGGCTTATGTACTGTAAAAACAACAAAATATTAAACACCTTATACTTCCCTTTAGATTCCACGGTGTGAACGAGAGAATCTCCATCCAGAACTATGAAGAGATTGTGCTGTTCTACTTCCAGCTCATGCAGAACAGTGACATCAGGAACTTGCCAGGACCTCGCACCTAAAATAAATAGGAATTCTGTGGAAGTTCTAATGAGAGCAAATTAACTTAAATTCAAAGTTTGGGGGCAGTAAGAATTTTTTGTAAAGAATTTAACACTTTTCTTCAACTGGATGCATTAAATTGATCTAAAGTGACAGCAAACATATTTATAATGATACACAAGATATGTATTTCAAATAAATGTTCTTTTGAATTTTTCATCAAAGAATCCTGAAAAATAAAGTATCACGTTTTCCACAAAAATAATAAGCAGGACAACTGACTTCAATTTTATTATAAAGAAATGTTTCCTGAGCAGCAAATAAGCATATTAGAATGATTTCTGAAGGATCGTGTGGCACTGAAGACTGGAAATGAATTAAAAATGAATTATAAATTAATTAATTTAAATGGTACTAATATTTGTCTATATTACGGTTTTACTGTATGTTTGATCAAATAAATGCAGCCTTGCTGTATACAACAGATTTCTTTCAAAAATATTAAAAAATCTTACCAACCCCAAACTTTGGAAAATTACTGTAAATATATTTTCTAAATTTGCATGTTGAAATGGTGTAAAATTACATAATGGATTAAAAAAAAAGTTTTTTTCATGATATAAATTTCTTTTTTACAATATCTTTAGTTAGTTTTCCCTGGGTGAGTCAACATTCTGCTATATTAAAATACAAATCACAAGGTTACTCATGCCATACCAATGGAAATGTTAATAAGATAAGTAACATTTCTTGTCTTCATGCAAAACCACAGTGATTGCAATTTTTTTAAGCTGTTTTAGTTTTAAAAGTTCAAAAGGGTAACCTATGCATCTTCTGTCTGTGCAAAATACTCCTTCCAATATTTCAGTTATCTTCAAGATTTTTGTTATTGAAAAAAATATTCAAATGCTGTTTCCCAGCTATTTTGTTAGTACCGAGTAACTCGAGATTAGTTCTGAGGCCAGTCGCAGCACATGCAGAGATTCTCTGTGACTGAAGGCCATCAGCTCAGCTGGTTTGCACGTTTATCTACACAGACCACTGCTCCTATTCACTGAATAGACAATCTTAGGACACAGATTATTGTATTTTTATGTAATATTTCTTCTGTATGTCAAAGTTTATATTTTTGACTTTGCTCTGTCAAGCTGTCAATGATTAATAATTCAAACATTACATAAAAAGAACCAGTATCCAAATGTTTATGGATCTGTCTGAGAGGATAGTTAGCCCAACAAAATTATCCTGCCAAGTCATCAAGTTACAGAGAGCAGATAAAAACTTCTTCAAAACGACATAGCCTATATGTAGTTTATAACCTTGTTATGTATTTTACCTTTGTCGCATTGCTCTCCTTTGTGTCAGACTCTAGTCAATAATTTCCTTGGTTGCATAAAAAGTAACCTTGAAAGAAAGTGCAAACCGGAAAATAAATAAATAATTAAAAATAATGTTCACTACAACATTACTGCATATTAAAGAGGCACTGTTTTTAAGTGGTAGTCTATGCAGTGTTAGTGCTTCATATTATACTATAATTTAATTACACAAGTTTGAATAATGAGCTGAGCCTCAGTTTAAGGCTATTATGGCCCGGTTTCACAGACGGGGCTTAGCTTAAGCCAGCACTAGGCCTTCGTTAAATTAAGATATTTAAGCAGCACACTAAGAATTAGTGTGTAAAATGCCTCAGAAGAAAACGTTACATGTGTGCATCTTGAGGCAGAGCAACGGAACTGACATATTTTAAGATGTGTCGGAGCAAGATATTTTCAGTCGAGACAGCTCAAACATGCATTATAGTCTGGGACTAACCTTAAGCCATGTCTGTGAAACCAGGAGGTATACGTCTCATATTAAGTGCAGCCTTTCAGAAGGAACCCAAATCTCATGCACAAACAGTCATTCATTTACTTCCCTTTTGCTTTTCTCCTAATGTCTGCAATGAATTTTGTTTTACCTGTCATCTATAATTCTGGCCTACGGGTGATTATTATTGTGCAAATCAAATGGTCACATAACTGAATGTTTTTTTCTAAACTGTAATGTAGAAAATTTGTTAATATTGATTAATTGTTATTATCAATTTAAGCTATTTAAAATATTTTGTTAACAGGAATAAAATACATATGTATTTATAAATAAAATATATTTTAAAATTACAAAAAAAATAAAATGTGTACTGTAAACAGATTTCTTTCAAAAATATTAAAAAATCTTACCAACCCCAAACTTTGGAAAATTACTGTAAATATATTTTCTAAATTTGCATGTTGAAATGGTGTAAAATTACATAATGGATTAAAAAAAAAGTTTTTTTCATGATATAAATTTCTTTTTTACAATATCTTTAGTTAGTTTTCCCTGGGTGAGTCAACATTCTGCTATATTAAAATACAAATCACAAGGTTACTCATGCCATACCAATGGAAATGTTAATAAGATAAGTAACATTTCTTGTCTTCATGCAAAACCACAGTGATTGCAATTTTTTTAAGCTGTTTTAGTTTTAAAAGTTCAAAAGGGTAACCTATGCATCTTCTGTCTGTGCAAAATACTCCTTCCAATATTTCAGTTATCTTCAAGATTTTTGTTATTGAAAAAAATATTCAAATGCTGTTTCCCAGCTATTTTGTTAGTACCGAGTAACTCGAGATTAGTTCTGAGGCCAGTCGCAGCACATGCAGAGATTCTCTGTGACTGAAGGCCATCAGCTCAGCTGGTTTGCACGTTTATCTACACAGACCACTGCTCCTATTCACTGAATAGACAATCTTAGGACACAGATTATTGTATTTTTATGTAATATTTCTTCTGTATGTCAAAGTTTATATTTTTGACTTTGCTCTGTCAAGCTGTCAATGATTAATAATTCAAACATTACATAAAAAGAACCAGTATCCAAATGTTTATGGATCTGTCTGAGAGGATAGTTAGCCCAACAAAATTATCCTGCCAAGTCATCAAGTTACAGAGAGCAGATAAAAACTTCTTCAAAACGACATAGCCTATATGTAGTTTATAACCTTGTTATGTATTTTACCTTTGTCGCATTGCTCTCCTTTGTGTCAGACTCTAGTCAATAATTTGCATAAAAGCATAAAAAGTAACCTTGAAAGAAAGTGCAAACCGGAAAATAAATAAATAATTAAAAATAATGTTCACTACTGCATATTAGCATATTAAAGAGGCACTGTTTTTAAGTGGTAGTCTATGCAGTGTTAGTGCTTCATATTATACTATAATTTAATTACACAAGTTTGAATAATGAGCTGAGCCTCAGTTTAAGGCTATTATGGCCCGGTTTCACAGACGGGGCTTAGCTTAAGCCAGCACTAGGCCTTCGTTAAATTAAGATATTTAAGCAGCACACTAAGAATTAGTGTGTAAAATGCCTCAGAAGAAAACGTTACATGTGTGCATCTTGAGGCAGAGCAACGGAACTGACATATTTTAAGATGTGTCGGAGCAAGATATTTTCAGTCGAGACAGCTCAAACATGCATTTTAGTCTGGGACTAACCTTAAGCCATGTCTGTGAAACCAGGAGGTATACGTCTCATATTAAGTGCAGCCTTTCAGAAGGAACCCAAATCTCATGCACAAACAGTCATTCATTTACTTCCCTTTTGCTTTTCTCCTAATGTCTGCAATGAATTTTGTTTTACCTGTCATCTATAATTCTGGCCTACGGGTGATTATTATTGTGCAAATCAAATGGTCACATAACTGAATGTTTTTTTCTAAACTGTAATGTAGAAAATTTGTTAATATTGATTAATTGTTATTATCAATTTAAGCTATTTAAAATATTTTGTTAACAGAAATAAAATACATATGTATTTATAAATAAAATATATTTTAAAATTACAAAAAAAAATAAATGTGTACTGTATACTGTATATATATAATTTAAAAACCGTAGCACACAACCAAATTACTAAAACTTAAATTAAAATTATAAAGAAAACGGTAAAAAAAATAAATAAAACGTAATTCAAAATATTTATAAATACTTGAATAATATAAATAATATTACAAAAATTTTTTTTTACATGCGATTCTAATCCACAGCAGCAGAGGGCGTTACTGCGCATTCGGTGAGGTATTAAATAAACATGAACTCTGGCCATGAAATGACTGTATTTTGCACTTCCTGAAACATGACAGGCTATAGCGCTCGGTGGAAATTATTTAAGTTTCTCAAAGTGCTGCTGTTTAGTGTCATATTTTCGATTACAGTTTTGTTCCTTGTTGCCACAGTTAGGACGTTTACATTTGATGCGGACGCTGGGCTTCAGTTGGGAAAATGGGAAAATACAACAGCCATTTCTCTTCATTTAAGTCCACAACAGAGAAAGAACCTGCTGGCAAATTTCAAAGGTAACAAACAACGAAGAACACCTCTCTGTGCCGATTGCTAAACCAGTTCGACATGCAGCTCATCACGTGACGGGAATGGATGGATCAGGAAGACGGAGATAAAGGATGTGCTGTCAACTACTGCTGCTGTAGATGTTACAAATGTTATAATGTGTTGTTTTCGTCTCTTTCATAGCGGCCATTCAGATTCCCACTGTGTCATTTACCGAGACTAATGTGAACACGAGCGCGCTGCGTGAGTTTGACGGGCTGCTGAGGAAGGGTGAGACACCATGCCTCTTACACAGCAGCAAACGCAAACTGCTGCCCCATTATCTTTTCAGTCACGACCACAATATTTTAATTATGAACTAATTTTAATGACCAAAAACCTAGTTAGCTGTGTCCTGCATTTCGAGTCCAATCCTGTTATCACTTCATCTCCCCCACTACAAAAAATTAGGCATTTTATAAAATTGTACACATGAAGTGACATAATGTGGACCTTTTCTGCAGCATGAAAAGCCAAAAAAAACCCTCATATTAAGTTTTCTCAAATTGTACAGTCATTTTAGATTGGACAGCATTCGACAAGTATAATTTAGGCTAAATCTGCAACCCTATTACTTGCATTCTGGTGTATTTTCATTAGTACTTTTTAACCTAGAATATCATTAATATGTAATCATTCAATATACTGTAAATATATTACATATATATTTAATAATTAGCATTATGTAATTAAAACAAGTTAATTTTTATGTTCAATGTTTATTGCTTGAAAACATTGTAATATATAATACAAGGCTTTAAACTTTTACGAACTTGGTAACAGGATAACAAAAGCCACAAACATATATAAAATAAAAAGTATTTTTTTTAAAGGCAAAGCACTTCTTTTGACATTGTTTATAAATTTTAACCATAAAAAAAAACTGCTACTACTTACTAATTAGCTGTATTCATGTAAATCAGCTACTTGTCGTTTAATAGTGATAAGATATTGTATTGAGTGTTATTTAAGAATATTTCCTTTCTCAGTCTTCCCAAAGATCTTCTCATCCAGTCTGGTCCAGCATGAGATGGTGGGAAACTACAGCCACCTGTTGACGGTACCAGGAAGCGAGCCTGATCTGGAGCCGTACATGCTGCTGGCACACATTGATGTAGTGCCGGCCGATGAGGCGGATGGGTGGGATGCTCCTCCTTTCTCTGCTCAAGAGCTCAATGGCTTCATTTATGGACGAGGAACCATCGACAATAAACAGTCTGTGATGGTACAGTGAATCAGCACTGCATCCTTTTTCACATCTGCTCAGTCCAACCTGATGCTAACTGTAACAATGTGTGTTTTAAAGGGGATCCTTCAGGCGTTGGAATACCTGCTGGAACAAGGTTACACTCCTCGGAGAAGCTTCTACATCGGCTTGGGTCACGATGAGGAGGTCAGTCTCAAGTGAATTGACTAGTTGTCGTTTAGAATACTTGTTTATATGCACTTATTTATATGGTTTTGTCAGGTGAATGGTTTACACGGGGCAGCCAATATCGTGAAGCTCCTGAAGAGTCGGGGGGTGAAGCTCCAGTATGTTTTAGATGAAGGCCTGGCAGTGTTGGATGGTGTCATAAGTGGCCTGGATGGACCTGCTGCCCTGTGAGACTGCTATTTTGAGCTGTTCTACTAGAAGAGTCATTTAGTAATTTAATTAGTGTGTAATATTTGCCCTGTGTGTGTTTTTGTAGAATAGGTATCAGTGAGAAAGGTCAGGCCACAGTAAAGCTGAGTGTAAGCAGTGCTCCAGGACATTCATCCATGCCTCCCAGAGAGAGCAGCATTGGCATCTTGGCGTCAGCAGTCAAAAGGCAAGCAGAAACACCTAACTTTTTTTTTAGTAGTAAAACAATTAAAAAAGATTAAAGATGGATCCAAGTTATTCTCAAACCAGCTACATGACGGCAGTATTAGACTAAGCTAAATGTATTTAAATGAAGATTTATTGTACGTAATGCTATCTATTAATATCTTTTCCCAGATTGGAGGAAAATCCAATGCCCAGGCTGTTTGGTTATGGTCCTGAGCGTGGCACGTTTGAACACCTGGCCCATAAGGTAAAATGCTACAAGCAGAGGATTTTGCAGGCCACATTTTATGAAATACTGACCTGTATATGTGAAAACCATTTCTCTTATTTTCTTTTGTAGTTTGGTTTGCCTCTCAGATTCATCATGTCTAATCTGTGGCTCTTCTCTCCGCTACTCAGCAGGTAGCTCATATTGGTTACCTTAATGCAGTAACTAATGTCATATCAAAGTATATTTTATACAGGATTTTTCCTGCATTGAAAACTTTTTGGACCTCAAAAGACAATTTAATAATGGTTATGGGATTTTTTCCCCTCTCTATATGTCTGTTATCACATCCCATTCTGTAATTTTATATGAAAAGCTTGTTACACAAGTCAGGCTTTAAAGCCCAGAGTCTGCCTTGTACCCACCCATATGATAATAATTAATGGTATTGATTTGTGAAAGAAATTAATAATTTACTTCCGCAAGAACACATTAAATTGCTCAAAAGTGACAGTAAAGATGTTTCATAATGTTACAAAATATTTGTATTTTATGTAAATGCTCTTCTTTTTAACTTTTTATTCATCAATGAATCCTGAAAAACTGAATTATGGTTTCCACAAAAAGATTAAGCAGAAAGTTTTTAACATTGATAATAATGAGAGAGATATTTTTAATCGCTATAAAGGATCATGTGACATTGAAGACTGGAGTAATGAGTGCTGATAATTTAGCTTTGCCATCACAGGAATTAATTACCAAATAAAAAAAATTATATATATATATATATATATTAGGGCTGTCAGTCGATTAAAATTTTTAATCAAATTAATTGCATGATGTGTTGATTAATTAATCGCAAATTACATTTCACTGTGAAAATGCCCCCAAAAGATTATTTAAAGCTAATTATGTGTTAAATTAGAAAGTATTAAGTAGTAGACATTACAAATAGTAGCTTTAGAAATAAATATTTTATTTGATTCAACATAAAATTTATTACACATAAATGTTTAAGTTACAACGATCTATCATAAACTATCAAACATAAAAGATGATAATCTGAGAAACATCTCAGTTTTTTTTTCATTCATGCAATGGAAGTCATTGATAACCAAAACAGCTTTATTAGTGTCTTCAAAATACCTTCTTTTATGTTTAGGTTGTGGTAAATGTCATTCATTCGATTCGTTCAAACGGCTGATTCATTCAGGAAATCAGTAAACGACTAACTTTATGAATGGGCCTTTGAATCATTGATTCAGCCACTTCGTTCAAAACACGGAGTCATTCAGAAACGAAACACGGCTGTGTTGCTTACAGACGCACAACAATTCTGCTGTGGCTATATAGGCAGGGGTTAAATTGGGATTTATTATGTGGGGGGCTCTGGGGTTTCAGGCTTTTGAGGGGTGCACATGTGTACAAGCCTACAAACAATTAACAGTTATATTGTAACAATTAACAATTATATCAATTGACAAACTGTAAAATATAACAAGTTGAAAGAGTACGGAAGTTCTAAGCGGCCATGCATTATTTTTTTTTTCCTTCTTGTTTTCTCGTTATAACGACTTATTTTCTCATTATATCGACATAACGAGAGTTGTTTTCTCGTTATAACGACTTAATTTTCTCGTTATATCGACATAACGAGAGTTGTTTTCTCGTTATAACGACTTAATTTTCTCGTTATATCGACATAACGAGAGTTGTTTTCTCGTTATAACGACTTAATTTTCTCGTAAGTCGTTATAACGAGAAAACAACTCTCGTTATGTCGATATAACGAGAAAATAAGTCGTTATAACGAGAAAACAAGAAGGAAAAAAAAAAAGCATGCATGGCCGCTTAGAACTTCCGTAAAAGAGCCCTCTGTTATGAACACTAAAATGCTGATCAAAATCATTCTAGATGCTGGCAGTGTACAAAGCTACATCTGTCTGATCAAATTTAAGACCTTTATTAAGACCTGCAAAAAATAAAAATGAATACCATATGAGCAGGGTAGGGCAATGTGTATGGTAACATTAAACTGTAAAATGACTGTAAAAACATGATTTAATTACAGTAGAGATACAGGTTTTCACCAAAACAAAAATATATCTAAAATGATAAACCTCACATTTCAGTCTTTAAACCATTTTTTTAAGAAAAGAGACAAGTCAGAAGTATAAGTTATTATATTAATTTAAACAGGGTTATATGGGCAGATGGGGGGAAACAGCAGACAGGCTTATTGAAAATCCAATTTGATTCTCTGCCAGTAGGAGGCGCTTTTGGAACGTCAAAAGTATAGCGGTTTCTCAGGTAACGGCTGTAAACAAAGCAGCTCTGTCCTCATGAACGCTACTTTATCAGGAGCATTTTTGCCCCAGTATCTTGAATTTTAGGGCATAACTGCATTTATGGAGTTTTCAACAGCCAACTGTATGAATGTAAGATGACGTACAGGTCTGGGGGCGGGGCCAGCGCGTTAACTGCGTTAAAATATTTTAATCGAGTTACTTTTTCATAACTAATTAAGTAAACGCTTTATTAATTAATTGCAACATGTAAGCATGTAAAACCCAGGAAAATCCCTTTCATATGCAGGGTGTTGGAGAGAAAACCTGACACAAATGCATTTGTGAGGACCACAACTGCCGTCACTATGTTTAACTCAGGTGTAAAGGTGGGCCTCTCTTTTTTTTTTTGTATGTTAGTTCACAAAGTAGCATGAAGGTAGATCTGATTACTTCTCTTTCTCTGACAGATTAACGTAATTCCATCATATGCTGTAGCATTTGTCAATTTCCGTATCCACTCAGCCCAAACACTGCAGGAGGTGAGAGGTCACGCCGTTTGCCACAGCAATGACTCATTCAGTCCATCCTATAACTCTGATAGCTCATCTATTAACTTTAGCTCTTCACACCAACCAGTTTCTCATGATTTAAAAACTGATTAACTGTAGATGGGTAGTGAGTAAATGATGACAGAATTTAAATTTAATCAAATCAAATGCTATTTACAATGGTTAATTAAAAACTCTTTCTGTCTGAACTATTTCATAGTTTGATTCATTGTCTTCTTTTAGGTTCTGGAGTTGGTCAAGTCAACTGTATCAGATGAGCGTGTGAAGGTAGAGCTGGTCAATGGATTCGACCCACTGCCCGTCAGCTCCTATGATGAGAATACATTCGGGTACCAGATCATAAAGAAAACAGTGCAGAGCATGTTTCCTCAGCTTACGGTGGCTCCTGGTAAGACAAGTGATGCATTTCTGCTCTCCGCCTCTTACATACATCATTGACTTGTGAAGAGCCTCTTTTAACTGAGCTGATTTCCTCTCACAGGTATCTGTGTTGGCAACACTGACAGCCGTCACTACAAGGATATCACACAAGATATATATCGCTTTGCTCCGTCATGGTTCAAACCAGGTGATCCTCAGAGGTAAGACACAGGAGAAATGCTCTTTGTAATACTGTCCAACTAGAAATGTCACGTTTTTATATAATTAAACATTTGTGTCCTTTAGATTTCACGGTGTGAACGAGAGAATCTCCATTCAGAACTATGAAGAGATTGTGCTGTTCTACTTCCAGCTCATCCAGAATAATGACATCAGGAAGTTGCCGCCACCTCACAGTAGCCAGCATGAGCTGTAAATGGTGGGATGTTACTTACACTGATCTCAAGACACTTAAGTTTTAGAAACTAAGCTCAGGGAGCTTTGTTTTAGCAGATAAGAATTGTGAATAAGAAAAATGTGAATAAAATGAATGTAGGTTTAGAAAAACCACAATGAAGAATTGAAGGTTGTGAAAGATGTAATTCATAAAGATTCTTTCTTGCATTTGATACCGAACAGTTAAAACACAATGTAATCTGCTGGTTGTCAGGTGTGGACAGCAGGACATGGGCATCCATTCATGCATTTGGCAGATACTTTTATCCAAAGTGACTTAAGATATACAGTACATATACAATCTTAATGTCATATTACATACATATTTGTATGTATTTCTGTTTAAACTGTATTATCACCCTGACTTCTAAGTAATGTTTTTTGCCAGTTAGTCCAGCCAAATTACTGTAAGTTTGTTGGCTGAATGACAAATGCAAAACATAAGCAATCCTGACCATGACCAAAAACACCCTGAAGCATTGCTGAACACTACTACACTTCAGCTGAGCTCCTTCAAAAAATTTAGCTATGCGAATAAATCAGACAAAATGGGCATTGTGATGTTTGAAAGTGTGAGTGGGTACAGAGGACATGATTTAATTAGTTAACTCTGGTTTAGTCTGCTTCAAAATGCACAGTTAATATTTTTACTTTGATGTTTTGAACTAACTTTCTTGAACAGCCTGAGCTCTATTATCTGTATCTTACCTTTATAGTGTTTTCATTGATTCAGATGTTATTAAGGTTTAAGTTAGCGCTGTGTTACATTTTCAAAGCTTGCATGATGGGCCAATAGATTAGCGTTAGACTGAAGTGAGTTATTATGGCTGATTATGTCTGGCTCTATAAACATTTACCTCTGCATATCCCTTGCATCCCAAAGCTGTAGCTCAACACAAAGTTATTGTTATTGGTTGTTTAAATGTTACTTTGAATCCTTAGTCATTTTTGCACTGAAATGGACTGTGCTGAGACTGAAAATTACTGTAAATGTTTTGCATTAATAATTTTGAATGTTACATGTATTTTTCATTTCAAGTTTAAATTAATCAATTGCTTTAATAGAAACAGATGGGTGTTCTTTATTATTTATTTGTTTTCTAATGAATATTCAAACATTGAAAAACAACTTTATCTAAAAATGTTTAGAAATGTCACAAGGTTACCAATGCGGTCCCACTTTAAATGTAAAAAATGCAGACAATTAATGCTTAATCAGGTTAGTTTTATTCAGACAGATTAGACAGACTGCACTCCTTTAAGACAACTAAATGTAGCGCATTATTTTAAGAAAGTAGTATTAAATCATTGGGTGTCTGTTAAATTTGAAGAAATGAACAGAATACTTAAAAGTAAAGTGAAAAATGTTTTTGCCACTTCTTGCTCCAAACAGTAAAAAAAAAAAATACTGGCAAAATTCCACACATTTTCTTTGCAGAAGTGGAACACTGATTAATTATTAGGCTAGTCACAGCACAAGCAGCCAGGATTGTAAACAGTCCCATCAGGGCAATGCATCACATAGGTCCCGCCATTAGAACACTGAATGAAGGTCGTAGGGTCATCTGGGTTTATGTATAACCCGTCCAGTTTGCCTACACAGAACTCTGAGGGAACAGCATTGGATGCTGTGGTCTCATCAGGCTCATGTGTTGTATTTGGAGAGACAGGTGAAATATCGGGAGGAGGACATTTGAATTGGATATTTTATCTTTGTTTTCCAGTTATTAATCTCTCTGGAATACCTGATTCTGATTGGTCAGTCATGGCATCCAGCTGTCTGATATTTCCTAATATATAGCTTTGTCATGGCATCACTGTGACTGAAACCAGCAATACTTTCATATCTCATACATTAAACTTGCCCTGTCTCGTTTCATACAATTTCATCTGGTTCTATCTTGTATGCTGGTTATCAACTTTAATGAAAATCACCTCAGAGAACTAAGGAATTATGAAAGTTACTAATGTTGCAGTGTTAGTCTTGTTGCTTGGCCGATCATTTTGTACACAGTAATGGACTACTGTTTCTTAGCAGAAGCTTTAGGTTCATGTACAGGTAAAGGGCAATTATGTTTCAAGTTTCAACTCAAATCAATACTTGAAAGCAAACAGGGAAGTGGCTAACCGCACACTGAATCCAATAAAATCCAATAAAATCTCTTTCAGCCTTATTGGATTCAGTGTGCAGTTAGCCACTTCCATGATGCTTCCCAGTAATAAAAGCTCACTACACTTTAAACCAAGCCCACACATTTGAAGTGATACAAAAAACATTGTTTTTATTTTTTATATTCCATAAATACCCTGATTAGTGTAACACAAAAAGACTGACATTGGCAGGAAGCACAGCGCATTAAAATAAAGGCTACAGTATTTGCATACATTTAATATAATGTGGTAAACCACCCAACAGATTTTCATTTGTAATTCACTTTGCATAAAAGCTATAAATATCTGCTAAATGTTCATTTAAATATATACTATATTAACGTAAATGCTAAATGCCAAGTTTATAATAAAATCTAGATCTGAAAGTAGTTTGAGATTAGATTAATTTACGTGAAATGTATTTATTTATTTATTTATTTATTTATTTATTTGTAATGACCTTATTAACATATAAAGTCATTAACATATAAACCAACTTATATTAACAAACAACAATAGCAAAGTTTTGCTAAACTCACACCCCACACCCATTCTGAACTTCTCTCCATACATTCATCAACACCTCCAGCAACCTCTCTCCTGCACTTCCGATCCATGAAGAGGATGTGTTGGGTCTTCCACAAACAGAAGATAAGGAAAGCACCAGGCCTAGATGGCGTTAGACCTGCCTCTCTGAAATCCTGAGCTGACCAGCTGGATCCCATCTTCACAAAGATCTTCAACAGATCACTGGAGTTGTGCAGAGTCCCTTTCTGCTTCACTGAATAACTATAGACATGTTGCTTTAATGTCTGTGGTCTTGAAGTCATTTGAAAGACTGGGGTTGACCCCCTGAAGGACATTATTGGACCCTTACTGGAGCCTGTTCATTTTTGCTTTTCGGGCAAACAGGTCGTTGGACGATGTAATCAATATTGGACACTGCATCCTGCAACCTCTGGAAAAAAAACAGGGACTTATGTGAGGATGTTGTTTGTGGACTTCAGCTCGGCTTTCAAGACCATCATCCCTGCTCTTTTGCAGACCAAATAAGCCCAGCTCTCTGTTCCTCGCTCTACCTGTCAGTAGATCACCAGACTTCTGACAGATAGGCAGCAGCTAGCGAGACTGGGGAAATTCATGTCCAACACCTACAATCAGCACTGGCGCCCCCCAGGGATGTGTGCTCTCCCCACTGCTCTTCTCCCTCTACACTGCACCTCTAAAAACCCATCTGTCAGGCTGCTGAAGTTTGTGAATGGCACGGTCATCTGCCTCATCCATGATGGTCTCGAGTCTGCATAAAAAAGGGAGGTTGAGCAGCTGGCTGTCTGGTGCAGTCATAAGATGATTGTGGATTTTAGGAGAAATACCCCAGCATTACCCCTACTCACTCATCATCATGAACAGCACAGAGGCAACAGTTGAGTCATTCAGGTTTTTGGGCACTACTATCTCACAGGACCTGAAATACATAGGCTCAATTGTGAAAAAGGCCCAGGAGAGGTTTTATTTCCATCACCATTTGAGGAAGTCCAACTTGCCACCGGTGCTGCTTCTGCATTGGTCTCCCAGGGTCCAATGATGCATTGTGCAAATTACAGTGTATTTCTATGTTTTTATTAGATTAGATTTAATTAGATTATATCACATTTTAAAATACTCGTAATCAGTTATTTTTTATTGATTACATGATTACATATTATTCACACAATAGCTACAAATCATTCATAATTTATTGATTATGACTGATTCTTCTTTTTCATCTTTTAAATTTTCCTTCCTAAAATAGCCTACCACTTATACAGATTCAGATAGTTTTCTACCTATAGTGACGTGGCTATAATGACTATAATGAGCACCGGATTTACAAAAATAATTTTCAAATTTAACAACATTTCAAATTCTCAACATTGCATCAACTATATTGCTAACATATTAATTTTTATTTGAATTATCACTCTTATTTAATCATGTATTACCATGTCTTTGGAAGACTTTTGTCATTCAAACCCATTAAAATCCACAAATTAATGTTATTTCTTATTTACATGAAATGCAGGAATTCCCAAACTTTTTTTGTCAGATTAACCTCTTTAACTTAATATATTTACTTCAATTTAAGGTAATAAATTAATAAGTAGTGCAGTTCCATGCTCACAGTTCTTTGATGTTGGTTAATGGTCACATAACATGCAAACAAATAAAATATTTCATCTTTCTGACTGCGATTTATTTTGATTGTTGTTCATTTAAAATGATTTATTTAATTTTATTTGAATAAATATTCTAACATCGTAATAAAAACAAAAGTATGTTTAAAAACTAATAATGTCAAGGTTACCAAAGCAGTTCCACTTTAAATGTAAAAATAAGTGTTTATCAGGTTAGTGTTTTTAATCAGGCAAGTTAGACTGTGCTTCCTTTTTAAGACACAACTAAATGTAGCATATTCTTTTATGAAAGTAGTATTATATCATAGCTGTTTTTTAAATAAAAATAAAAAAACAACAGAAAACGTAAAGGTAAAGTGTGAAAGTATTATGCCATTTCTAATGCCAAATAGTATTGCAAAAACCTGCCAAAGTTATATACATTTCCCTTGCAGGAGTGGAACAGGGACAACATGAGGTTAATTCTTAGGCCAATCACAGCACAAGCAGTCGGGAGTGAAGACGGTCCCAACAGAACAATCCATTTTAATGGGCATGCCATTAGAACACTGAATGAAAGTCGTCGGGTCATCTGGGTTTACGTATGACCCATCCGTTTTGGCAACACAGAACTCTGAGGGAACTGTCGGGACAACATGAGGTATTGTGGCATGAGATACAGCGGATGCTGTTGCTGTTGAGACAGGTGGGAAATCTGGAGGAAGACATTTGAATTTGATTTAAACTGACAGATTGAGACACAGACCTGACTGTAGATTATCTATTCTTTTTATCATCTTAAAAAGTACTTAAACTTATAATGATTTATCAGATGGAAGCTTATTTTTGCCACATAAGAAAAAAAATCATGGATTGGTAAATCATAATTATGACATAATTGGATACTAAGTCATTATGAGATCACAATTGTGAATCTCAGTTTCTACATTTTGTCTTATAATTATAACTTAGTATCTCATTTAAAATTCTTGTCTCATAATTATAAATTATATAATATACTTTTCATGTCATAATTATGATTTACCAAAGCATGATTTTTTTCTTCTGTGACAAAAATGGCCTTGATTAAGATATGAGATATACCTATATTAAGAAGTGTGCTGAGATGTCCAATGAGAGGGTATTTGCCCTGCTCACAGAACTGTCCTGTAAAGTCATCAAGATCCAGAGCCCAGACGAAAGCTCCTCCAAACCTGTTCTCCTTTAGGTAGTTCACCTGATGCAGAACAGATTTTGAACATGAGAGCTGCATTACAGTTTATCTCTTTTCCAAACCCTTGTGACTTATTTACCTTAGTCTCAAAGCTTTCCTTGTTGTCGAATCCCACCCATTCAAGTCCTTTTGTTGCATAAGGAACTTTCTTATCATCAATCCATTTCACAGTGGTTCCTTGAAGAAAAGTACAGACCTGATGGGAGAATATCGGTTCATAACTCTTCTGATTTTATTTTGCACAATCAAATAACAAGCTGTAAAGTAAATGCATGTGTTCAGGTTGAAGGTAAGACCTCATAATATGACCAGAATCCAGCCTCTCTGGTGTATTTTCCAGCTGATCCAGGACCACTAGCTGGAGCTCCAGCTCCACTGGCTCCAGACAGAGCAGACAGGCGAAATGTTCTTCCATATGTTGCAAAGCCCATCCTCAGCTTCTCCACAGGAGCACCCTGATCTCTCCAGTATCTCATTGCAAAATCCTGCATTGTCATGACAAATCACTTATTTCCTGTTGCATGTTTCCAGCTTCTTGTTATTTGCAATGACTCATAGTATCATTCACGATCATTTAAATGTTATACATGATGTTAAGGATACAGTAGGATATATGGCCGTCTTACAGTATTATAGTAGATGTTGTCTCCTTTGTATCCAGAGCCACGGTACAGAGGACTGTTGTGCCCGGTGACACTTTCCCATGAGCCGTGGAAGTCATAGGTCATCACATTAATGAAGTCCAAACACCTGCATTACCAGAAGGCAAACGCAAGTTCAGAGTCATAACATTGCATCAACTATATTGCTAACATATTAATTTTTATTTGAATTATCACTCTTATTTAATCATGTATTACCATGTCTTTGGAAGACTTTTGTCATTCAAACCCATTAAAATCCACAAATTAATGTTATTTCTTATTTACATGAAATGCAGGAATTCCCAAACTTTTTTTGTCAGATTAACCTCTTTAACTTAATATATTTACTTCAATTTAAGGTAATAAATTAATAAGTAGTGCAGTTCCATGCTCACAGTTCTTTGATGTTGGTTAATGGTCACATAACATGCAAACAAATAAAATATTTCATCTTTCTGACTGCGATTTATTTTGATTGTTGTTCATTTAAAATGATTTATTTTAATTTTTTTATGGTTAAATGAATTATTAGCTTTGAATTAAACTCACAAACCCTCTGCAGTTTCAGCATGTTGTTAAAAACAATGAATGGAATATATTTTCTTTCTCTTTGTATTTTATATCATTACGATACAAGAATATTCTATTTAGATCAATGTAATAAACGAGTTAGCACAAAAGTAATCTAAAAATACCTTAAATGTGTATGTAATGAGTTAAATTACTAAATTGCTCATTCATCTGAACAGACTCATTCAATCCAGGCTATAGTTCTGATAGCTATTAACTTTTGCTCTTCACACCTTCACTCTAGAGGGGGATTTCACCAAAACAATTTAGTGTCATCAGCTACCTAATGTTGTCCCAAACCTGTATGACTTCCTTTCTGTGGTGGAACACAAAAGCTGTCACTACAAGAACATCAATCGAGATGTCCACGTGTTGACAGCAAGGTATGTGCATTCATTCATGCATTTGGCAGATGCTTTTATCCAAAGTGACTTTATACAGTACTATAACTAGTCTAATGTCATATTACATACATACTGTATGTATTTCTATTCAAACCTTATTACCTCTAAGTACTGAGTTTTGTGTTCCCTCCCGAGTCTTTCCTCTGGCGCTGCCTCTCCTGTGTTCAAGTCCATTGCCAACTTGGAGACCGTCTCTGTGGTCATCCTTCCTGCCTGTTATTCTGTTGTCTGCCCTGCCTCACTCTGCTTGCTGTCTCTAGTCTACTGTCTTTGCATCTGGGTATCATCGCTTGCAGAGCCCAGACAGTTACTGGGTGCAGAAAACATGACTGAACTAGTTAACTCTGGTTTAGTCTGCTTCAAAATGCCCAGTTGGTATTTCTGACATTACGCCTCCAAACATGCTGCTTTGGTGTTTTGGACCAATTTTTTAAGAGATTCATCTCAAACAGCCTGGTCGCAATATGGAGCTATTCTAGTTACCTTTATAGTGTGTCCATTAATTCATATTTTAGTGCAGTGGTACATTCCCAAAGCTTGCATTATGGGCCAATAGATTATTAAATAAATATTTTGTTAGACTGAAGTGATTTATGTCTACCTCTATGAACATGTACCTCTGCATATCACCTGCATCACAAAGCTGTTGCTCAACACAAAGTTATTGTTATTAGTTGTTTAAATGTCACTTTGAATCCTTTATTATTTTTGCACTGAAATGGTCTGTGCTGAGACAAAAACAAATTACAGTAAATATTTAGCATTAATAGTTTTGAAATTTCAAGGTGGTTACATTTTTTTTTAAATTTCTAAACAAACATAGATGTGTGTTCTTTTTTATTTGAATAAATATTCTAACATCGTAATAAAAACAAAAGTATGTTTAAAAACTAATAATGTCAAGGTTACCAAAGCAGTTCCACTTTAAATGTAAAAATAAGTGTTTATCAGGTTAGTGTTTTTAATCAGGCAAGTTAGACTGTGCTTCCTTTTTAAGACACAACAAAATGTAGCATATTCTTTTATGAAAGTAGTATTATATCATAGCTGTTTTTTAAATAAAAATAAAAAAACAACAGAAAACGTAAAGGTAAAGTGTGAAAGTATTATGCCATTTCTAATGCCAAATAGTATTGCAAAAACCTGCCAAAGTTATATACATTTCCCTTGCAGGAGTGGAACAGGGACAACATGAGGTTAATTCTTAGGCCAATCACAGCACAAGCAGTCGGGAGTGAAGACGGTCCCAACAGAACAATCCATTTTAATGGGCATGCCATTAGAACACTGAATGAAAGTCGTCGGGTCATCTGGGTTTACGTATGACCCATCCGTTTTGGCAACACAGAACTCTGAGGGAACTGTCGGGACAACATGAGGTATTGTGGCATGAGATACAGCGGATGCTGTTGCTGTTGAGACAGGTGGGAAATCTGGAGGAAGACATTTGAATTTGATTTAAACTGACAGATTGAGACACAGACCTGACTGTAGATTATCTATTCTTTTTATCATCTTAAAAAGTACTTAAACTTATAATGATTTATCAGATGGAAGCTTATTTTTGCCACATAAGAAAAAAAATCATGGATTGGTAAATCATAATTATGACATAATTGGATACTAAGTCATTATGAGATCACAATTGTGAATCTCAGTTTCTACATTTTGTCTTATAATTATAACTTAGTATCTCATTTAAAATTCTTGTCTCATAATTATAAATTATATAATATACTTTTCATGTCATAATTATGATTTACCAAAGCATGATTTTTTTCTTCTGTGACAAAAATGGCCTTGATTAAGATATGAGATATACCTATATTAAGAAGTGTGCTGAGATGTCCAATGAGAGGGTATTTGCCCTGCTCACAGAACTGTCCTGTAAAGTCATCAAGATCCAGAGCCCAGACGAAAGCTCCTCCAAACCTGTTCTCCTTTAGGTAGTTCACCTGATGCAGAACAGATTTTGAACATGAGAGCTGCATTACAGTTTATCTCTTTTCCAAACCCTTGTGACTTATTTACCTTAGTCTCAAAGCTTTCCTTGTTGTCGAATCCCACCCATTCAAGTCCTTTTGTTGCATAAGGAACTTTCTTATCATCAATCCATTTCACAGTGGTTCCTTGAAGAAAAGTACAGACCTGATGGGAGAATATCGGTTCATAACTCTTCTGATTTTATTTTGCACAATCAAATAACAAGCTGTAAAGTAAATGCATGTGTTCAGGTTGAAGGTAAGACCTCATAATATGACCAGAATCCAGCCTCTCTGGTGTATTTTCCAGCTGATCCAGGACCACTAGCTGGAGCTCCAGCTCCACTGGCTCCAGACAGAGCAGACAGGCGAAATGTTCTTCCATATGTTGCAAAGCCCATCCTCAGCTTCTCCACAGGAGCACCCTGATCTCTCCAGTATCTCATTGCAAAATCCTGCATTGTCATGACAAATCACTTATTTCCTGTTGCATGTTTCCAGCTTCTTGTTATTTGCAATGACTCATAGTATCATTCACGATCATTTAAATGTTATACATGATGTTAAGGATACAGTAGGATATATGGCCGTCTTACAGTATTATAGTAGATGTTGTCTCCTTTGTATCCAGAGCCACGGTACAGAGGACTGTTGTGCCCGGTGACACTTTCCCATGAGCCGTGGAAGTCATAGGTCATCACATTAATGAAGTCCAAACACCTGCATTACCAGAAGGCAAACGCAAGTTCAGAGTCATCAGTTCAGACTTAAAACATTCAAGCAAATAATGAGGCAGATTGTGTGGGTCTTGGCCAGACTACATATTCATTTGGTTCATATTCATTCATTTAAAAATTCTGCAGAAGACATACTTGGCAATTTCTGCAATTTCATAACCAGCATCAATGGTTCCTTTACCAGCAGCCACTGCAGCAGTGAGCATGAGTCTGGGGCGTCCAGTGGCAGCACTCTCTGCCTCGTAAGCTTCCAAGAGCTCCTGTTACAGTCAAAGTAAATTATAATGAAACAATTTTGAATCTGGGATTCAAAATCTAATATAAATCTGGAAATAAACTAAGTTTTTGGATTTAAATTTTTTTTAAATGTTATGAGGTAAAATTAATAAGACATATTTCACATTTTACACTATTTCTAGGCCATTTATCAATTTATTAAATTTGTGGCATTGATCATGACTCTTTTTACAGATGGTCAGATGTTTTTCTTTCACTGAAGCTCAAGATGCTCAGCCCCCTTGAGGTCTAAAACAAACTTGTGGAGTTCAAATACTTAAAAAAGAAAATAATAATTTCACCGGTGGATTTGTGTACATGCATAATCATTCTTTCTCTGATTATCGATTATCTTTATTGTTTTTTACTTAAGCATTCAACCATGCTATCATCTCATCCTGTAAACACCATAATTTAGATTTTAAAAACTACTGTATTGTGTAAAAAAAATCTGTAAATACTGCAGTACCTTGCAGAGCAGAGTGAACCTTTGCTTGTCTTCTGAAGGACTTCCACGGGAACCCGGATACTCCCAGTCCAGATCCAGACCATCAAAGCCATGTTTCCTCAGAAATGTGATGGAGGACTGAATAAACGTCCGCCTGTTTGCTGATGTGGACACCACGATACTAAACCTGACGAGAAGTTCCATGAAGATGAAATAAACAGTTATGTTTAACACACATCCTTCAAAATTTAGTGTTTTAAGCAGAATTCATACTGTTCTGTGCCAAAGTTCCATCCTCCGACAGCCAAGAGAGTTTTCAAGCTGGGATTTCTGTCAAGTCAAATATTTGTATCATTATTCGCTGTAATGTCTCTGACAAATTATCACTACACTCTTAAAAATAAAGGTTCCAAAACAGGGTGTTCACAGCGATGCCATAGAAGAACTTTCAGTGAACAGTTCTTAAAAGAACCGTTTTTTCTTAGTGTGAAGAACATTTTAATAATCTAAAGAACCTTTTTGAATGAAAACATGGATGGTAAAGGTTCTTTGTGGAACCATTGATGCCAATAAATAACCTTTATTTTTAAGGGTGTCTTCAAAACTACAAAATGCATTCACAAACAAAACATCAGATAGCACATACCTTTCCTTTAGTCTATTGAAAGATTTGAAGAGAGATTCATCATTCCATTCAAAAGTGGTCAACTCATTTGCCTTATTAATAACGGAAAACGCATAAATTAAATGAGTGCACAGATGTGGATCCACATTTTCTGGCATGTACTTGCCAACATCAGGTCTGTACTGAGACCAGTTTGTGAAGTAGCATGCCAGTTGGGAGGCCCATCCTGAAATACATAATACATACATTTATAATCTAACATATAGTAATATAATATACAATTATTACATTTATAATTACATATTATTAAAAGCAATTATTATTATATTTATTATTTCCAATACCCTACATAAGAAAAGTGGTTTGCAGAATGGATAATTATTAGAAGTAGTATATAGTGATTTTTGAATATAGTATTTAGGAATGAAACAACAAATTAAAAGAAAATTACCAAAGTGACACAATGCCAGGGAAAAGCCTGAAACAAGATAAAAAGAAATGTTAACATATAAAAGACTCCAAGGCCATCACGCTCTTAAAAATTCATTCTGTAAGATCAACAATCCCTTACCAGCTAGAAGAAAAAATGTGGACATCATAATGTGATGGTCATAGGCCTATCAGTCAAGAAACTCTGTCTGCTGTATGAAAGACAGAAGTTATCATTTATATAACCCCCAACACACAAAACTCCTAGCATAATACCAATGATTAACCAAAAACAAGAACACACATTAATTTCCCTAAAATAACTGTTCCCTGTCATCTGCCCTGGATGTTATCACACAATACATTACATTATAACAGTCTTAAGGTTTTGTACATTCTGATTGTAGGAGCGTTTGGTCCATATTTTAAAGGGGTCATATGATGGTGCTAAAAAGAACATTATTTTGTGTATTTGGTGTAATGAAATGTGTTTATGCGGTTTAAGGTTAAAAAAACACATTATTTTCCACATACTGTACATTATTGTTTCTCCTCTATGCCCCGCCTTTCTGAAACGCATCGATTTTTACAAATCTCATCGGTCTGAAAAGCGAGGTGTGCTCTGATTGGCCAGCTATCCAGTGCGTTGTGATTGGCCGAATACCTCAAGCGTGTGACAGAAATGTTATGCCCCTTACCATACTGTGATGATGCCCTGTCAGGCCGGAGTGATGATTCAAAAACATTAAAACCCATTATAAACGAGGCATTTCTTGCATCCAGTGGGGACGGATTATAATGACATATACTGTCTTTTTACGTGTTGCGTTGCATCGCGCCACGTAAACATAAAACCATGTCTATGTTTGTGATTGGAGAAATGACAAACAACAAGCGCTACTCTACACTGCTCAAAACTCGTGTTTGAATCGTCAATGGCAAATTCTTTAAATATAAAAAATTTACTTACAGTCTGTGAGTCAGAACAGCCGGCATTATAGTCTACTCTCCCAGGATCAGGAAACAGTCCTCCATAAAATGCGCTGCACACATCTGAATATTTGGGTTGTACTGTTTTGGAACAGTTTTGTAAATACAACTTAACCACTGATATCTAGTCGTGTCCTCTTTTGGAAGATCAAACATAGTAGTTTCACTTTCACAAAGAAACACAGCGTCACACACAGCGGGCTTGAGTGAGTGGAGGCCTAGAGTGAGCAGAGGCCGGCGGCCTAGATAGTGAGGAATGGCCGGCGGGTTAGAGAGAGTGGCGGCCGGCGGATTCGACAAAGGAGCGTCCGGCGGGCTAGCGGCAACCACATGTGACAACCCCGGGCTGGACTCCGCTTCGTCCACGGTGAAAGCCGATCCGGCAATCCACAGCGCGAAGTTGATGTATTTCCTCAGCGCCCAGCACGGATCAGCTCTAGACATGACGAAGCAGATATCGTCCTCTTTTGGAAGGCCAAACAAAGTAGTTTCGCTTTCACAACGAAACACACAGCGTCTTCACGACATGGCAACGGCAACAATACTACAGCGAGAATAAAAGTTACGCCTTCTTTCTTTGCGTGAACATTTGGGCGGCGTTATGCAAATCTTCCCACATTGTGACGTAGACATGTGGAGGCGTGTTAGAACGAGCCGTTTTAGGTAGGCGTGGTTGACTCTTAACTTTTATAAAGAATATATCTCTTTGGATTTGAGACTTTAGTCTTTGCAACTTTACAGATCTTCTTTAAGCACCAAGAGCTTGTAACCCTCCAAAGAGAAAGGAAAAATTTAAATCACATCATACGACCCCTTTAAACTTCAATAACTGAGTTCAGTGAATCAAATGTCTAATTTGAACAGTCATTTAAAAAATACAGGCGCTCTCAAAACATATTAAGTTATACTGATCCAAAACTACATCTACTGCAAAGAATATACGTTAATCAAAAAAACTGTAAAATATCCTTAGATTTACATTTTATTCAAAACAACTAGAGGAACATAAACTCTCATATAGAGACAACAATATTCATAGTGTACAAGGCCAGGTTTATTAGAAATCTAGATTAAGAGGCAAGCTAGAGTAGAGGGGAAATTAAGATTTTTTTTTTATCTCTATGAAACACAACTTTCAGGCAGCAATATAATGCACTCAGTAACATTACGTTGCTCCCGGTGTCGACATATTCAGTGCACATCCGGTCTGATCACCTGCTCTTCATGCTTCAAGGATCTGAAAAGTGTGTCATCATTCCATTTGTATGTTAGAAGCTCATTTGAATAGTCAGTAATAAAAGTTTCACTGTTATGGTGATGATACTCAGCTCTATATTTCTTCATGGCCAGACGGAACATACCAATTCACAAAACCAACAGAATACAATTAATATTAAAAACTGGATGAGTAGTAATTTCCTACTGCTAAATTCTGAAAAAAACCAAGGTGTTAATTATCGGACCAAAAACCTCAGCATGTAATAACCTAGAACACTGTCTAACACTTGATGGTTGCTCTGTTAATTCTTCGTCATCAGTTAGGAACCTAGGTGTGCTATTTGATAGCAATCTTTCCTTTGAAAGACACATTTCGACAGATCCTCTTCTAAGACCTTGTCACCTCGAGACCACGAGAACCGGACAAATCCTCTGCTTAATCTGACTTGTGAAATATGAGGCATTAGTGTTGCATGTCATCCTGTTGGCACACAACTTGTAGAACCTTACAATAAGCTTTCATTAGTAACTGATAAAACAGATGTTGGCATGTACTACAAAAAAAAAATGTACAAGGTAACCTACCCCTGTCCACATTGTTGTATTGCTGAGCAGGGTCACAACCAGTGATTTACAGACCTCTGATATGAGAACTACAATGAACAAAGTAATTGTCAAAGATAATGTCAGGTTAGTCTTTAACACTTGTTCTGCGTAATTATGTTTATCTTTATGGCCCAAATAAACTGACAGGATGGATGATCACAGCTGCCACTTTCATTTGCACTGGAGTTGAAACCTCCAAATGACTCCAAATAATGCTAAACATTTAAATAACCTTAACCGTAACCTTACATTTGAATCTATTATGTGCTTAGCCCAGACATTACCCCTCATCTATCCTGTGTGTCTCTTTAACACAATTTGACTTGTTGGTCTCCCAGGGTCAAATAAAGCTGCTTTTTGCACAGAAGAAAAAGGAACAAGTCTAAGCATAAAAAATAATCCGTTATAAAGCAATTAAGAAAACAGTCATTAAACAGTGTGTGGTAATATTTCACTTCCCTGATTTGTGAACTTCCTTATATGATTGCACAGAATGCTGTATTATAAATGTTAAGTAGCACTAAATATCACAAGCAAATCACGCAATGTTCATTTAGCACAGTAAATGTGACTCAGACATGAAATAAATCTACATGATTATCAGCACTTGGTATTGTTAGACAGGTTTCGAGATCACAAAACGAAACACAATATGCAACTTACAGAGACTGTTCTTTCTCAGTGTTTGAACACAGGTCAGGTGTGGAAGCGTGTTCATGTTTGTGCTAGAGGTCGTGTTGAGGATCTGGGCAGTTCATTCTGCCCTCTAATGGAGAATATTGACATATCAGAACTGACCCTCTGTTTATCCTCCCCAACGATCGAAAGGAATTTATGACTGTTTGGGAATGTGTTTTTGTGTGTGGGTCCATTGAAACTGTTCAAAACTATGTGCTTTAAACTTTAAATTGTGAAACGGTGTATTGCTTGTTAAACGGGAGTCAAAAGACGTTTTTATAAAAGATTTTTTTACACACATTTCAAGAAAAACATCAAACATACACACTATATAAACAATGTAATGACAATTTTTTCCAGAAAAGAGTAAAAAACGAGTCAAGACGAGCATTTAAGTGTTGTTAAACAATTTAAAAACTAGTTAGAGTTTGACAAAGTTAAAGAAAAAGAAGGCTACTGACCATCTTACCGAGATCTAAAACAAAAAAAAGTATCATACATTCGTTAAACAATAAGGCAGTTTTTCTATGTTACAATTTTAAAAAGCTAAACTTTGTTACAAGCTAGAAAAGAAAAGAAAAAATTACAGTGTTTACATGCACGGTCTTAAACCGATTATGCTTAATAAACCGCACTTGGTCATGTAAACGCGGTAACCAGTTTTCTTTGATCGGAGTAAGCTGTATTGCTGAGCAGGGTCACAACCAGTGATTTACAGACCTCTGATATGAGAACTACAATGAACAAAGTAATTGTCAAAGATAATGTCAGGTTAGTCTTTAACACTTGTTCTGCGTAATTATGTTTATCTTTATGGCCCAAATAAACTGACAGGATGGATGATCACAGCTGCCACTTTCATTTGCACTGGAGTTGAAACCTCCAAATGACTCCAAATAATGCTAAACATTTAAATAACCTTAACCGTAACCTTACATTTGAATCTATTATGTGCTTAGCCCAGACATTACCCCTCATCTATCCTGTGTGTCTCTTTAACACAATTTGACTTGTTGGTCTCCCAGGGTCAAATAAAGCTGCTTTTTGCACAGAAGAAAAAGGAACAAGTCTAAGCATAAAAAATAATCCGTTATAAAGCAATTAAGAAAACAGTCATTAAACAGTGTGTGGTAATATTTCACTTCCCTGATTTGTGAACTTCCTTATATGATTGCACAGAATGCTGTATTATAAATGTTAAGTAGCACTAAATATCACAAGCAAATCACGCAATGTTCATTTAGCACAGTAAATGTGACTCAGACATGAAATAAATCTACATGATTATCAGCACTTGGTATTGTTAGACAGGTTTCGAGATCACAAAACGAAACACAATATGCAACTTACAGAGACTGTTCTTTCTCAGTGTTTGAACACAGGTCAGGTGTGGAAGCGTGTTCATGTTTGTGCTAGAGGTCGTGTTGAGGATCTGGGCAGTTCATTCTGCCCTCTAATGGAGAATATTGACATATCAGAACTGACCCTCTGTTTATCCTCCCCAACGATCGAAAGGAATTTATGACTGTTTGGGAATGTGTTTTTGTGTGTGGGTCCATTGAAACTGTTCAAAACTATGTGCTTTAAACTTTAAATTGTGAAACGGTGTATTGCTTGTTAAACGGGAGTCAAAAGACGTTTTTATAAAAGATTTTTTTACACACATTTCAAGAAAAACATCAAACATACACACTATATAAACAATGTAATGACAATTTTTTCCAGAAAAGAGTAAAAAACGAGTCAAGACGAGCATTTAAGTGTTGTTAAACAATTTAAAAACTAGTTAGAGTTTGACAAAGTTAAAGAAAAAGAAGGCTACTGACCATCTTACCGAGATCTAAAACAAAAAAAAGTATCATACATTCGTTAAACAATAAGGCAGTTTTTCTATGTTACAATTTTAAAAAGCTAAACTTTGTTACAAGCTAGAAAAGAAAAGAAAAAATTACAGTGTTTACATGCACGGTCTTAAACCGATTATGCTTAATAAACCGCACTTGGTCATGTAAACGCGGTAACCAGTTTTCTTTGATCGGAGTAAGCTCATAAACGGCGTAAGCATAAACAGTAAAATAATACAATGCTGCGTTTATTACTGCATGAGAGGATAATATATGAGCTGTAGCCTAGGTTTCCCAACATGTTGCAAGCTTAATTTAACATCACAACTGACAAACATATGGAATACTTGTCAGATATGCAAATGATTATATTTTGACATCACTAAAGGGAAATAACCAGATTTATTAATTAAGTAATGTAAACACAGCTTACTTGCGTTGTCAGGTTACTGATGTGCATGTAAAAGGGGAAAACTGGTTATTTTAATAAGCTGATATTTGTGAGTGTGTTGTGAGGATTTGCAGCGCGTTTCTTCATTTGCATGTGTTGTGAGGATTTGCAGCGTTTCTTCATTTGCATGTGTTGTGAGGATTTGCAGCGTTTCTTCATTTGCATGTGTTGTGAGGATTTGCAGCGCGTGTGTTGTCAAACTGATGAAGATGTTTTCTTAATTTGCTGGTGTTTTTTCAATTTGCATGTGTTTTCTTAAGTTGCAGGGCGTTGAGCTCTCTCGGCCACCGTAACTTGTGCTTTTAGGGGGCACAATTTTAAAATTCTACTTTAAGTAGCCTATTATTCATTCAGTCATTTTTCACCATGTCATGTATCGCTGCAATCTAGATGTAATCTATAACAATTTCACCTAAAATGAATGTTTCATCATGTTTAATTTATTTGACAAATAATTTTGTATTGTAGTGTCAGAGGCATCATTTTTGAGGTGGGACGAATAAGAGGGGGGGGGGCTCTCATGCTTGTCATATGACACACAGCAGCCACAAACAGAGATCTACTGAAAAAAATAAATAAAAATAAAACCATCACAGAAAATTTTCATGAAAACAAACATTACAAACCATAAATTTTTAACCATTTGTAGCGAATTTAGCTCATCGACAGGAAATATGAATAATTAACCATAACTAGTTATAATTAACTATTCATATTTTAGATCCGCTGTAGATATTTAGCTGACCACTCAGGGTCAACTGTCTTGTCAATTCTAAGAACGTTAATTTCCTGGTTAAGGGAAATAACTTCTTACTGTACAATTCTACCAAGCTTGTAACGTAAATCTGCATGATTAGTGACTCCGGTTATGAGCAAACAATGAACACGTCAAGTGTGATACAAGTAAGGTTTTATTAACTACATAAACACATAAACTAGTCTAACATACTACATAAACACATAAACTGGTCTAACATCCTACATACACACATAAACTGGTCTAACATACACATACACACACACACACACATACAGTTGGTATAGGAAAGGGTTAAAGTTTAACTCAGCACAGAAAGAGGCAAAAAGAATGAATTTTATGGAAAACTTTGCATATTCAGCAGATCTAAAACCTGAGGGAAAACGTCAGATTCTTAGCTCAAACACACCTTGTAAAAAGGTGTAACTGATACTTAATGCATCAATTAAAACGACTAAGTTTGATACTTGCGAGTCTGTCTGAAAAAGATTCCTGATGCAATCTTAAGGCCCCAAGATCTTGCTGAAGTTGGTTGATGAGAAAGAACCAGTTTGCGTCAGAGTAACTTGAAGAATGGAAAAGTCAAGGCCGAAAGGCCTGGCACAATCTTTGATATCCTGAAGCGTTTTCTCACATCTTCATCTGCATCTGACCGAACCACCGACTGGGGCGGGTCACA